AAATTCCTAAACGTTTAGGGCAATTCCCCCAAACTCAAACCCAGCTTTCCCTTTGTGATATGGAACCTTGTAGTACAATTTCATAAAGATCCATACACTTACACACAAGTTATTGTCCTGAAACTAGAAAAAGGCTTGTTTTTTGCCCCTTTTTTGCCCCTAATTCCTAATATTTTGAGGCAATTACCCCCCAAATCAATCCCAGCCTTCCCTTTGTGGTATGGTACCTTGCAGTACAATTTCAGAGAGATCCATACACTTGAACACAAATTATTGTCTGGAAACTAGAAAAATGCTTATTTTAGCCCCTTTTTGGCTCCTTATTCCTAAACATTTTGAGAAATTACCCCCAAACTCAATTCCAGTTTTCCCTTTGTGATATGGTTCCTTGTAGTACAATTTCAGAAAGATCCAAACACTTACACACAATCCTTATTCCTAAACATTTTGAGAAATTACCCCCAAACTCAATTCCAGCTTTCCCTTTGTGATATGGTTCCTTGTAGTACAATTTCAGAAAGATCCATACACTTACACACAATTTATTGTCATGAAACTAGAAAAATGTTTGTTTTTTGCCCCTTTTTTGGCCCCTAATTCCAAAAATTTTGAGGCAATTACCCCCAAAATCAATCCCAGCATTCCCTTTGTGATATGGAACCTTGTGGTACAATGTCAGAGAGATCCATACACTAACACACAAGTTATTGTCTGGAAGTTACAAAAATGCTTATTTTTGGCCCTTTTTTGGCCCCTAATTCCTTAACTGTTGGTACCATAACCCCCAAAATCAATCCCAACCTTCCTTTTGTGGTATTGAACCTTATGATAAAATTTCATAGAGATCCATTCACTTAAACTAAAGTTATTGTGCGAAAACCAATGTGTCTTTGGACGACGACGACGCCGGACGACGACGACGACGACAATGCCAACGTCATACCAATATACGACCGTATAAAAACACAAACGACACAAAGTACAGATCTGAGAGAACTCGCAGTTACTGAAAGCTAGTTCAAAGCCAATAACAACTAATAAAAAAATCATGTATCTAAGACTATATATCAATCAATATACATCCAACTTCCAATGGATTTAGTGTAAAGACGTCATTAACAGTCAGAGAAAAACATGACCTTGTCGATGCCAAAATATAGTTATTGACAGAAATACCATTATTATAATTTGGTAAAATCTTAGGGTTACACAAGAAATATATAACAATCTGCTATGGCAAGAGACCTCATAACTAAATTTAAATCTATCTGAATTAAACAGAAGCAAAATAACTGGTAGAGGAGGAACTGCTTACCCATTCCCAGGGGGTGAGGAAAGGCTATGCCTGACTCGCCCTTAATAAAAACACCAGGCTATCAAGACAAAAAGAACAACGAGTCGAGTAGAAAACGTAAAATGCAGACGGAGAAGGACAAGGAGTATTAAAAAAACCAAAAAATTTCAGACATCGTGGATATCAGATTTCCCCTGGCTCTCTAGGAAAGAAAATACAGAATATAAATTTAATTTTTGCATAATCTGTAGACAACATCCAACCCTGCCAATCTAAAGTCAACCTTATTTGTTGGCAAAGTGGTAGATAGAAGGGACACTTTGGTGGCCCATCAACTTTCAGTAAAACATCAAGCCTGTCAGTTGAAAGAAACCAGTCAAATAAAACAGGTTTCTTGGGAAAGGGACAAGGCTTTGGCTAAGGTCAATCAGTCTGAGGTTGATAGGTATGAAAAACTATTTAATACAGCATATGCAGTTGTCAAAAACAATCCACCATTCGAATTCTCTGACTATAGTTTTATATGTGACATTCAAATAAAAAATGGGATGCAACTAGGCAAAGACCATCTTGGTAGGCATGCCTGTATTGATTTCTCAAAAGTCATATCTGGATTTCTTTCAGACAAAACAAAAGAACAAAAGAAGATTCATATCCGTTTTGTCAGACGGCAGTACAGATTCATCAGTAACAGAAAAAGAAAGTGTTCTTATCAGATATGTTCACCCTGAGACACACGAACCAGTTACTACACTTGCTAGTATTGAAAATCTGGAAAGTGCGACTGCAGATGTGACATTCAAATAAAAAATGTGATGCAGCTAGGCAAAGACCATCTTGGATGGGATGCCTGTATTGATTTCTCAAAAGCCATATCTGGATTTCTTTCAGACAAAACAAAAGAACAAAAGAAGATTCATATCCGTTTTGTCAGACGGCAGTACAGATTCATCAGTAACAGAACAAGAAAGTGTTCTTATCAGAAATATGTTCACCCTGAGACACACGAACCAGTTACTACACTTGCTAGTATTGAAAATCTGGAAAGTGCAACTGCAGATGTGACATTCAAATAAAAAATGGGATGCAACTAGGCAAAGACCATCTTGGATGGGATGCCTGTATTGATTTCTCAAAAGCCATATCTGGATTTCTTTCAGACAAAACAAAATAACAAAAGAAGATTCATATCCGTTGTGTCAGATGGCAGTCCAGATTCATCAGTAACAGAACAAGAAAGTGTTCTTATCAGATATGTTCACCCTGAGACACACGAACCAGTTACTACACTTGCTAGTATTGAAAATCTGGAAAGTGCAACTGCAGATGCTGCATATGCTGCAATAAAGTCAGGTGTGTTAAAGTGTGGCATAACTTTGGGTAATAATGAGGTTGAAGGTCAGCCAGAAGTTGTCTGTGTTAACATGGATGGTACAGCTGTAAATATTGGAGCTAAAAGTGGTGTTGCCAAACAGAATTGTTGATGCATACAGAATTAAAAGCTGTCAGAAAGCTGTTTGCCAAGATTTGCATATTACAGCCTCACAAGTGGAGGAAATTTTAAATAAATCCAAACCAGCTGATGAAGTTAGGCAGGCAAAGGCTATTCTTTGTGACCTGACACAGGTTAAATTTGTCAAATATATTAATCTCAATGCTTGATGTTTTGGGTGCAGTATCTCAAACATCAAAGTTGTTTCAGGTGAAAGATTTGATGATTTTTGAAGTAAAGGCAGCTATGGATACTCTATTCACCAAGATTCATGCTATGAGACAGGAACCTGAGGAAAAATCTTTCTGCATTTTACGAGAATATGATGGTGAAACTAAAATGTTTGATGGCAGACTTGCACTTGAGGGGAACCTGATTCCTTTCAAAGATGACAAAAATGTTTCCACACTTTTTGAAAAAATAGGAAATTATGTTCTGAAAAGATTTTCTGATTTTGATATCCCCCTTTATCCCATTTTTAAGTTTTTGATTTTTGGGCATGGCCTCACAGATTGACAGATCTCAGTTCATTTGGGAATTCAGACATCAAAGATCTATATCAACTTTTCAGTTGTGCAATATCTGAGGATGAATCAAAAAGGCACAAGAAGAATGGCAAACATTAAAAGTACAGGTTTCATTTCCGATAACAATCAATCCACTCATTATGTTTTTTGACCTTTTGAAAAGTCACCAAGATGACTCCCTTAAAAGTATTAAAGTTCTTTTTGAAATAATGCTGACCATATCTTCCTCATCAGCAGCATGTGAAAGAGTTTTTCTCAAATGAACATTATCAAAAGTCCTCTAAAAAGCAAATTAACTCAGGAAAATCTCCAAAATCAAATGCAAATTGTAGTAAATGGTGTCAGTGTAGAGGAATTTGACCTTAGACCTTCAGTCATTTACTGGTTAAAATCAGGTAACAGACATATAACTCACAAACAGCCTGTTAAAACAGCTGTTGCTAGTCACCCTAAGGATAGAGATGTTACAAATGTTAGGCCACTTTAGTAGGACTTAGTTAAGTCACTTGGTGGAGAAGAAGCTGCACGAGCAAAACTAAAAGAAATGGCTAATGAACAGTCTGGATCAGATCAGTGTAGATTGATGTGAAAAAGCTTTGAACTTTCATGACTCTTTGAGAAACAAAATAGAAATTTCTTTGATATTTTAGTTTATTCAATAAAACGGGTTGTTTTATTTCAAATAGCATTTTATTAATTATAAAAAAAATAACGATTAACATTCAATAGTAAATCTATTATTTAGTTTTCATTACTTCACTCACTGCCCCCAAAATTGAGTATGTGTACCTACAGGCTAGAATTTTTTAATAAACTCTGCAAAATTGTCCTTTAGATGTCATTTTGGTTGGTTTGCTGTTTGGTTTCTGTTCCATTGGTGTTAACCCATTACCTCCTTTTATCTATACACATAAACAAATATCACAATCATCATTTATATTGTGATACAAAACAGTGCTAAGAATCATACAAGCTTACAGTAAAATACTTCCAATATTTATTGGGACTTTCAGGGCAAGTAACTTTTTTTCTGGACAAGTAAAATTTACAGTGTTACTTGCCACGACAAGTGCTCACAACAAATATTTCCACACCTCTGGAGACTTCCAGATCACCTGAGTTGGTGGGATTTGTGTTTATCAATTATTAGCTTTTGTTGTAGTGTTTTGTTGTTTGTCACATATAAATGTGAAAGTTTGGGAAAATTAGAGAACAAACATTGCCCAAAATTATATTTTGTAGCAAATAGAAAAACACAAAATACATTTCCTGATGTGTGAATTACTTTCTGGGCCATTATTGAGCTCTCATTATAATTACTCAGCATATGTGCATCAAAAAATGACTTTTAATAAGTGTGTAATACATGAAAGGCAATATTTTAAACAAAATAACAATGTCTTATTAAATTAGTGAAGTCAAATTTAATTCTGTGACGAGGTGATTTGAAATCCTTAAAATTTGATGGCCAATCTTGCTGAGATCGTACTACCTTCTTCTTTACCAGTACTATAAAACAGGATGGTAATAGCAAATTGCATGTTGCAAGTTGAAAAATTCATTTAAAAATTTGTGTATGGCTAGAAAGGTTTTTTATCATACCCAGTTACTTTTCGTTATGTATTGCAAATATATTACCATAAGAAAGGATTTCATAAGACTAGATTCTAGAAAAAAAGAAAGACCATAATTTTCATATTTTTAATTAACTGTTCTAAGTGATTTAACACTTTCCATAAAAGATTTAAGTCTATCAGTATCCAATTCATTGTTCCAGTGTCCATCCTTCTTGAAATATGAGCCTACTATCAATCCATGGGCTGATTTATACTGTTCTACATTATCATTGGTTACACCTGATCCAATCAAAACTGGTATGTCAACTGCCTTCTGGACATCTGAAAAGTAAAGGCATCATCAATTACAGCCAAGCTGATTTCAAATGAATGACTAGATTAATTATAAAGCCATTTAATACTCATAATACCTTCAAAGAGGAGTCTTTTATTTTTTCAGACATATAAATATTTAATCTTATGGTTTGGAAACAGACAAATATGATATTAACATACACTTTGTTTTTATTGCAATTAATTTGGTATAAAGCCCAGACAAAAAATAAGTCATAAATGAATATTAAGTATATTAATCTTTGAAAAATATTGTATAGACTAAAAACATTATTTCATGATTCAGAAATTAAATACTATAAATAAATGACTCAAGTAAATATCAGACTATGAAGGCTTTTACTGTCATGTTTTTTTTTTTATTTTATCTATAACTTATATACTTTTATAAGTTTCACTATATATTTTTGTATTTTGTCAACCAGGTTAAAAAGGATACTAAAAAATGATTTCATAAACTGTGTATTTATTTATTTTTTTGTAAACCCATTTTTCGTTGAGGACAACTTGCATTTTCGTAGATATTTGATTTCATGGTTTTTTCAAAGTCTGCATATATTATAGATTTTGATAGTTTGCTCTTGGCGCCTTCAAACTACTTTAACCCCGCCAGATTCTATATCTGCCTGTTCCAAGTCAGGAGCCTGTAATTCAGAGGTTGTCGTTTGTTCCTGTATATCATATTTGTTTTTCGTTCATTATTTTGTACATAAATCAGGCCGTTAGTATTCATGTTTGCATTGTTTTACATTTGTCATTTCGGGGCCTATTATATGACTATGTGGTATGGGTTTTACTCATTTTTGAAGGACATAGGGTGACCTATAGTTGTTAATGTCTGTGTCATTTGGTCTCTTGTGGAGAGTTGTCTCATTGGCAATCATACCACATTCTTATTTTTATATATAGAAAATATGTTCTTCGTTGAACATTTATATTTGTGGTTAACCCATACCCACTAAATCCACGGTTATTAGCATCCCACAAATTAAAATTAATCCACAATATATTTAACTAGTGCACTGTGATACAGATAATATCGACCATCTGATTATAACTAAAGGACAATTTTGTCAAAAGATCTTGTAAAGTTTCAAGACATTATAGAGAAAAAAATTGAAAATCCATCAGACATTATCAAGGATTGTCTATGGAAATAATGAAATCACAAAGGTTTATTTTATATGTACTATTTCTGCAAAGCTTTGTTGCAGTTTGACTTATTGTTTCGAAGGAGATGATCAAAATGTGAAATGACTATTGACATAAGATAATGGTAATAATAGCACACATGCCATGAAGTTATAATCTTTAAGATGATGTATAAACATGCATGTCCAGGGGCAGATCGAGAAATTTTTTCAGGGGAGGGGTCCCCAAAACAAACATTCAAATATAACAATTTTAATAATAATAATAATTTATGTCACTAAGGAAGTAACAAAACAAAGGATAAGAGTCAAAATTATGTGCACGGGTAGGGTGACAATGCCAAAGATGTTTGGATGGTTAAACATGTTTCTTTTCTTAATGTTTTTAATTGTTGACTTTAGCAATGTCTCTCTAGTAATTTGCCAGAAATACAACAATATTTTTTACTTTGGAAGAAAGCCCATTTTGACTAAACAAGCTGAAGTTATAAAAATCTAGACAGTTTTAGCTTTTCGAGCCATTACATGCTAGGTCCATTAGAGTTTGTTTCTTACTTAGTTTGGGCTGATTTGTGGTTTTTCCTGGAGGAATGGTGGTAAAAATTCAAAACATGTAAAAAAAAGTTTTAAGGAAATTTATAAATGTTGGGGTAAAGAATTTAGGGTGCTGATTATAATTAGATCTTGTGACCAATCATTTGGATTTTGGCATTCTAACGATTAAAGTTCGGGAAAATTTGGAAGTAATGTCTAAACATTTCAAATATAAATAAATAACTTTATTGATTGAAAAACATTTGGAATTGAGTATTGTCCCATTATTTTCATACCTCTTTATCATAGGAACCAAATTAGTAATTAGCGGTCAATATTTACAATTTGTTTATATTTAAACATACTTGTCAAAGTTCTATGTTTTGGAAATAAATAGACAAGTATATCAGTAGTGATAGATTAATAGGTAAATTAATCAAAATGTTCTCAATTTGGTGCACCATTTTTGCTAACCTCAACAGGGTGCACATGACACCCCCTGAGGTTGGCAGGTTTGGTGCACATGACACCCCCTGAAGTTGGCAGGTTTCGTGCACCCGGTAACACACTCCTGTGATCTGCCTCTGATGTCTGCTTGTCTCACCTATTAATTCCGATACATCTGCAGCCTGACCAGTCTGAATTCCTGTTACTATGACGCCATCACTCAGGAAAAATTCTGCTGCTTTAGCTGTGTCAGCAATGTCAACATCTGAAGTTATTGCATGGGCACTATAAATATACAAAAATCAAATAATTAAGAGATATATATAATGTATACATTTTGACTGCTTACATCAAACCACACTCGGGGTCAAAATCTTAATTTTTAATATATTTTAGATAGTCCACATAATAATGAACGTGAGCACAGACAAACAAACCAACAGAAAGAAAGATTTGTAAGTTTTGTAAGTTGTAGGGTTTGCCTCACTTTTCAGTAGGCATTTTGATAAAGTTATATTTGGGATATTCAGGAGGAGCATTTAATGATAAAAATGACTACCTGCGTTTGTGTCATACATGGGAATGATGTTGAAGGAAATTTGGTTGACCTATATAAAACTTAGAAGCAATAATTTGTAGTTGTACAGAAAACAAGACAGAAAAAAGACTTTATATATTTTTCTTCCTTTGACAGACTTTTCTATAGACAAGGCTTCTCCTTTGAATTGCTCTTCCAACCTCAATTCAAAAGTATGTGGTATAAATACCAGAGTGAGAAGTAATGCAAACATGGCAGACCTATTGCTTATTACAATACCTGTATTGGTCAACTAAAACATGAGTAATGCCAGAACCCAACTTCAAGTGGCCATAAACCACTGGTTTTCATAAAACATAAAAATCAATTTACAGCTGCGCCAAGAGCACATGATACACCCTTATTGTTCATATTGAAACTGATGCAAGAATAAAATAGGATATTTCGAAGACATTTAAGCATACGCTAAATAAAAGGCTCTATAAAAAAACATACCTGAGGGTACCGGTTTTTAAATATAACAGTTTGTTATGTTCACCAATTCCAACAAATATGTAAAGTTTCCACTAAAACAATCCAAACAAACTCAAGTTATGGTACAATATGTGAAAAATTCACTAAAATCTGTCAAATAAAGTCCCGTAACTCTGGAGCGACAAACTGGAAAATTAAAAAAATCAAAATGCAGCTTCCTTTCATCAATCCCCACATTAATATAAAGTATGGAGGAAATCAATCCAGGAATACTGGAGTTAGTGCACAATTTGTGAAAAAATGCCTTAAATGTAAAGGGTAAAGTTTAAGTTTCGTCACAAAGGAGCTTCCTTTCATCAATTCTCACACAATAACTTAAGGTTTGGAGGAAATCAATTCAGGAATACTGGAGTTAGTGCAGGATTTGCTAAAAAATGTCTTCAATGTTAAAGTTGAAGTTTTGTAACTCTGGAACAACAAACCAGAAAATAAAAAAAATCACAAGTGAGCTTCCTTTCATCAATTCCCTCTCATAAGGTAAACTTTAGAGGAAATCAATTCAGGAATACTGGAGTGTGTGATTTGTAGAAAATTGCCTTAAATCTAATGGTAAAATTCCCATAGCTCTGGAATGACAAAGCAAAGAAAAAGGGGGAGCCACCTTCTGTCAATTCTAATGTTGTGTTAAAGTTATGAAAGAATTGGTTAAAGCAAATTTGAGTTCTCTTATGAAGTGTTAATGGAAGGATAGATCGATCTACGAATGGACTGACGGACATTGGTATACCGTAATACATCCTGTCTTCAATGGGCATATACAAATTGAATAAAAATACTGTGAAGATATCTTAATGATTTTTGAAATTTTGAGAACTTTGCCTTGACAGAGGATCTTTGAGAGTTCCTCTTAAATTTATTCACTTAATTTTCTTTGACTTGGTGCTGTTAAGATCTCGAAATATTGTAGATACATCTATCTATTGCTGAAGAGCTAATGTTGACCTATAGATGTCTTTTGGTTTTTAGAGTCTTCAGGTTGATATCACATTCACACATATCCACCATCTCCTTATACTCAAATTCAATAATATGTGTAGACCTGTTTTAATTTTTTTTTGTATTGAAGTAAAGAAGACTGAGAACTAGTCCTAAATTATTTGAATTTTTATATTTGTTTTCAATAAAACATGAGAATCATCTGAATGATTTTAAGTAGATAAACTATTTTAAGGACGAACTTCTGTAATAAACCATTTTCCATTTTGCCTTTTCTACCAAATATAAATTAGTCATTATTATCTGGGAAAATATCATCTACCGGTAATGGAATATGGCATTTTAATATACAAAAAGTGGTGAAGATTATTTGCAAATAAATGTCAAGCCTCATCCGATTAGCATATTGATTTGTAAGAGGATTAAAAGTTCCCCAACAGATGTACATTAAAGATACCAAGTTACATTAAATGTGTTTCTAAAATATAATTACTTTATCATGTATCTTTATAATCCAGCATCTCTTCGTGTAATCCCATTGGAAACAAAATCAATGTTTTATCATAACGGTACTGTTCAGCTTAAAGCATCTCATACTTAAAACGAGTTTTAGCCTTTTAGCAAATACTTTGCTGCTCATCTAATGAAAGCAGACAATAGGCTTCTATATCAAAAGAATCCTTTGACATGAGTTACATTGGAATGCATTTAGAGGATTCCCCATTAGTGTTTGATATTTCCTTGTTTTCCAGAAATTAATATTCCATTTGGGGAAAAATTCATTTTTTTTTCTGTTTTAATTCAAACTGTTCTCACAATCTCTCTGTTTTCGTTTTTTAATTTTTCTATTCCTTGTACTGGTACTGTCAATTAAAGAACTGCTGATTCTTCTAAAGACAAACTCTAGAAATCACCAAAAAACTAGAGGAATGTGATTGTAGCCATCAGAAGGCTCATTGCATGTAAATAAGTAAATTTTGATAAAAGTCACATAACTCCCATAAAAATGGTCTGATCAAAATGACAATACAATAGGGTCAACAACACATGATTGCTAACAATCTTACTAAGAATGGTCTCAGAGGAATTGCGTTCCTAAGGGTCATTGTGGTACAATGGTAAAAAAAAAGACAGTCAAAGTCCCATTAATCCCTCAAATATGGTACAATCAAAATGACTATTCAATAAGGTCAAATACATATGACGGCAAACAATCCTACAAAGTATACAAGTTTTTTTTAAACTGTCACAGCGGAATAGCATTTACAAATGTCATTGTGGTACAAAAGTCCAAAAATAGGTCAAAGTCCTATAAATCCCCTAAAAATTGAAGAATCAAAATGACAGTACAATATGGTCAACTACACATATTGGTTTTAACCATCTTATCAAGTATGTCAAAAATTCTTAGACCCATACATGGATGGACAAGCAGATATACTAGATTCCCTCTGTTGATTGATCAGCTGGGGTCATATATAAAATAGACAAACTTAAAAATTTAAATATACAGGTTCATATGTAGATATAAGAAGATGTGGTATGAGTGCCAATGAGACAACTCTCCACCCAAATCAAAATTTATAAAAGTAAACCAATATAGGTCAAAGTACGGTTTTCAACACGGAGCCTTGGCTCACACCGAACAGCAAGCTATAAAGGGCCCCAAAAATTACTAGTGTAAAACCATTCAAACGGGAAAACCAACAGTCAAATCTATATAAAAAACGAAAAACGAGAAACACTTATGAACCACATCAACAAACAACAACTACTGAACATCAGATTCCTGACTTAGGACAGGTGCAAACAATTGCAGCGGGTTTAAACATTTTAATGATATATATATGACTATTAACGAGACTAGATAAATCTGTCAATGAAACATTAACCCAACAACACAAATAAACCTAATTAAACATTTGCAGGTCAAATATAATATAATCTTTCAATAGATAAGTGTTCATCACATATGTTAAGTACTTAACTGCCCTAGGTATAGAAAAATTGTGAATAAAAAGAGAGTCCCAAATATCTGCCTTTAATCCAAATGTTTGAATCAATTTTCTTTCAGTGAACAATTTCAGAGGCATAAAAAATAAAAGGAAATGGAACATTATTTCTTCACACATTCAGAGGGGAATAAATTAAGATAAACTCAATGGATTGGAACATCCTACCCACATGAGTATCTATCTGCATAATGTATCAAGCTTTATGTAATTACAATAAAGTATCAGGCGAATTTTATTGATGGCTGGGTTGTCATTTATAATTCATGAAGAAGATAATTTTTTAAGAGTTTGATAGCATTTAGGGCCTTCAATGGTGGCAGCCATGTTGACTGTACTGGAGGTTGCCATTCCAACCTTAAAAGTTTGATTGATTGCTTATTGGTGTTTATCACCATTTTCAGAACTCTGTGCTACATCTTGGCAGCCATTTTTATTGGTGGAAGAAGCAGGAGCATTTATTGTAGCTCCTGCATTTATTGTAGAACTTAAAGGAAGAGACTTTTGGGATATGTCTTTATCAATTTAACTTGTCCCCCTTCAGCCTGAGCCATTAGCCAAAATTGTTTTTTCAAACATTTGTCTAATCCTAAGCTTTTTAAGGCATTCCAAAATTAAGGTTAAAACTGTTTAAAGTAAAAATATTTGGCTTTCATATAAACCCTGATGAGGTTTTACTGTAATACTGTAATTTTCCTGAATCTCCATTTATCTCAATTAATTAAGAACAGAACAAAACATCCCATAATTACCTTATCATCATCAATTTTTCAGAACATCACAAAGCAAAATTATATAAACAGCCCAGAGATAGAGAAAAATGCTATGATCACATAATCAATATTTATGCAAAAACTAATAAAACTAATTCCTTTCTTCATTTATATTCATACACAAAACTAAATACCACAGGGAACTTAACTTGTCAAAATTATTGACATTTCTTTGGACGATAATGTGCAGTTCTTAGTTCAACCATCAAATGGTGTCCCATCATCTGATAATCAATCATTATAAAAATATCTATATTCATTTGCTGTCAGATTTTTCATATTTCCCAACTAATGCCGGAGTGTTTATATAACCTTCCGGGTGTAAAACCCCATCAGAGCCTGAGTACCATGATGTCATGCATTAAGCCGTACTCATCACCTGACTGACAGTGGAATCATGGGCAAATCCGTTATAAGCCGTCATATTTGATCAAACTTGTCTTTTCAGTAAATTATTTTCTCCCTTTTTTGTTGACTCTCCATAATGAGAAT